ATTGGATATTTCACCCCATTTAGAGGGAGATTAGTACCATTCCAATGCTAGCATAGAGCATGTGGGCAGGCCACTCTTATGCGGCCTCCTCTCTTCCCTCCTTTCTGGATGAAATCCTGTTTTACACCCTTTACTGATGGTAGAAAATGTGCTTTATCCACATTCAAAATGTTTCTGGTTTTTGGTTAGTTTGTTAATTTTGTTTTGTTTGTTTTGTTTTTTAATACATGTGGTGAAGCACATCACTATAGACATACAATTTTAATTCATAGCAAGTCTTAGCTACATGCAAATGATTTTTAAGAGCTATATTGCATTTATTTATTTATTTTAATTGCAAAAATAATTCTTATTTTGACCTTACTTTAACTTTTGGTCATGAGAAAGGGTAATGGTGATACTACTTTTCCAATAAAATTACTGTCATTTAAGTCAAATTTTTAGGTCTAAATCACAACACTTTATTTTCAAAAGTCTTATTACTGCATTGGAAACAGGATATCGGTTACTTTTGTTTTTCTTTCAAGCGAACTTAAACAAATTAGAAAATTGACTTGCACTGAGTATTACTGTGAAGGAACAGTAGGCAGCAGGTTCAGAGGTGTGCATGGTTTCTTTTTAGGCAACCACTTGGTGGATCATCAACAGCTTGTCCCTATTCTGAGAACCAGTGATGTAGAGAATCATGAACGACGAAATCACGTGAGAATAAAAGGAGGCTCTGAAAACTTGGAGAAAGGTAATCTTACCCTGCTACTACAGAGTAGTACAAAAGTTGGTGCTAAGTAGGAGTAATGTAGCAGGAGAACCTTTGGTTTTTCTAGGGATGTAGGTATGAATGCAAGGTAGGAGTAGAGCAAAAGAAAGACCTAGTGAAAAAGCAAAGGAGAAACGAGAACACTATGCAAGATTTGTAAAAGGAAGAATTTTCAGGTTTTGTTCAAATTTAATGTGTAATACAGGAACTGGAAGAGGGAGAGAAGAAAAGAAAACATGAAAGGCTGACAGCTGAACACATTGTCTCTCTGTGTGAAGTAGTAAATATTATTGTTGTTCATGACAGCAAGGCTCTGGGCTCAGACCCTGAATGTTTCGTAGAATCATAGAATGGTTTGGGTTG